CCCCAAAACCCCAAAACCCCGTGCAAATAATCACTTTTTAATCTGTGGAATTATTAAAATTTAAAAGAATTAGAAATAAAAAATATTTGCCTTTCATTGAGTTAGAAATTTAAGAATATTAACTGTATTGGTATAAATGCTTTGCATAGATTGCTATTAAAAAAGGTTAATAATTAATCAGCGAAAAATCTCAAAATATTCACTGCAAAATGGAGAAGAATAAAAATTTCTAAACTTTAAAAAGCATCGATATAAGAAAACTCAAATCAGTCGAAGAAATGGACAAAGCGATGATGATGAGATTCAATGAGTTGAAAAGTCAACCATACTATAAGAATTTGGAGCAGTTCTATGACACGGAGCTAGAAGCTGGAAGAAATATGTTTAACAATGGAATAGCCTGGGGAGCGTTTAATGAAAATGGAGAGGTACTTGCGTTATTTTTAGCATTTGACCTTACTTTCGAGCCTTATACGACCTCAAAGAAATTATTAAGAGCAACTGAGAAATTGAAAAGAATGAGAGAACATTCAAGAAAATTCCTTAATTCTAAACCAGGTGAATATTGCTATGTGGGATATGCAGTGGCAAGAAGAGATTATAGAAGAATAAATTTGCTAACAAAGATAGGACTTTTATTAAAAGATGACCTTCTTCAAAACTATGGCTTTAAGGGTGCAGTTGCGATTTCAGTTTCAAGAGAAGGCTTTTTAGGGTCGAGAAATTACGGATTTAAAGCATTGAAATATTTTGGACCTTGGGGAGAGGATGATAAAAATGAATACTATCTAGGAGGAGAAATCAAAGAAGGTATGATGTTCCAAGTATTGATCATTTATAATTTTGAGAAGGAAAATGATTCAATCCGTAAAGCTAAGTTGTGAAAGTGAAAATTCAAAGTTTACCTAAGTTAATAACTAAAGCTCTTGGCTATTATATACCTAAACCTCATTCAATATAATAACATCTTTAAAATTAATTATATATCTCAAAATTAGAATCCTGGTCCCATCTACAAATGCTTTATCTGGGGTTTTGGGGTTTTGGGGTTTTGGGG